AACAGCTGTGTTACTGTGTACGATAGCTAATGTTGAGCGCCATTCGGTCTCGTCACCATGAGCAACAATTTCAAAATCGAGGGGTAATTTTTTAAACTAGACTAGACTAGATCAAACACCAAAAATTGCCGCAGCAACAAAGTTTCAATTCGTGGTACTAATTCCTCGATAGCTTGTTACAAACCAAATGGCGAGGTGGCAGAGTGGTCCAATGCGCTTCATCTTTGTCCGGTTTTTAAGCTTACGAGCATAAAAATCGCTATCCATGAAGTCTACTGCGGTAGTCGAAGGTTCGAATCCTTCCCTTGCCCTTGAACATTTTTCAGCCCCTGTTGTCAAGTCTGTTTGGCAACCCTTGTGAAAACAGTCACGTTTTCGCTCGGCCTTTTTTTTTTGGACCGAAAACTTCACGACAGTGCACGGAGGACGAGGTCATTTGTCGTGAGTTCACGACAGGTAACCATTCGCCGTGACTTAATAGGTACCCGTGTCGTGAGTTCACGACGTATTTAATTTGTCGTGGCATAATAAATGCGCGGTGTCGTGAACAGCATGCCATTTAATTTATCTTGACACTCATCCCTCTCATATGTCGTGATTTTTTGTTATGACCTGTGTGTGCAGCGGCCCCCACCTCAGTTTTTTTTTCTCGTTTTAAGCTAAACAGACAAATACATAACGGCTCATATTCAAGTTTTTGAACCTACTTTATCCTTGTCATAGATCCTCAGGGAGATTCATGCATCGCGCACGCCCGCAACACATTCTGCTGTTAGTGGCTACTCATTACTAATGGAAACTAGAAGTGCGTCTGGTTAGAGTTGAGTGTGTCTGCCTGTAGATTATAGAAACAAGATGGAAAGCAACCCTGATATAAGCAGTAGTACAAAAAAAGAAAGACTTTTTACTACATGAAACACGAGGTAACGATCAAAGAGGGGAAAAGGTAGCCCAACAGCAAATGGTCGATCACTGAATCTGTCCTATGGCGTGCTAGTAGCCCCTGACCATTTTGCGTTTGCTCACCGCGAGACATCATGCCGATGGCGTATGTCCAGGCGAGCAGACCGACACTGCCGTTGTTGACAAGCTATTGGATCAGTTGCAAGAAAGAAGGTATACCACAGCAATGGAGAAGATGTGCTTCATTAAACTTTCTTTTCCGCAACTTGCCAAGGTGGTGAACACCTCTCCTATACGGTGCAGCAGCTACAGGGACTACACATACAAACTCTTTGAGGCTCTATTAAGAGTAATTCTGACTCCTCTCATGGGCACACGATTTATAGTTGTCTCTGTTAATCGAGAAAGCAAAATAATTCATCAAGCTCCAAATGGAGTGTCCATCTGTAAAAAAAAAAAACTGAAGTGGGGGCAGCTGCACACAAGTCATGACAAAAAATCACGACATATGAGAGGGATGAGTGTCACGACAAATTAAAATGGCATGCTGTTCACGACATGGCGCATTTACTATGTCACGACAAATTAAATATGTTGTGAAGTCATGACACGGGTACTTAAGTCACGACGAATGGTTACCTGTCGTGAACTCACAACATGTTGTATTATCCACAGCGCACTGCGAGGGTTAAGAGTAGTGCTAATAGCTGTGCACATTATATCCCCTCTACTTATTCAAGGGCTAATCTAACCGCCCAATAGTTTGCCCGTTTGCTAGCGTCGTAGACACTTATCAACTGAACGTATATACCTTACCCGTTTAGCGGCCGACCCCCTCTGCTTTCTACATGCAAGTTATATATTCAGTTTTTTTTATCCAGGAACCCTTCGACCGATCACCCACTCGAACAAGCGTGGTGCAGTTCATAAAAAATACCTACTATATCTATTATGATGGCGCGTACTGCGGTTTTTTGTTGAAGTGTAAAATCATATTCGAAATTGGACGATACAAATGTACAAGAGCTTACTCGAGGAGAGACAAGAATTACAAGCTAATAGTAACCCGTAGAAAAATGGAGTAGCCGTGGCATGTTTGCATGCTAAAACAGAACCTTACATGAAATCTTTTGGATAAGGTGTATACGTTCAGCGGCTAGCGAGAAATTTGTTCAGCTGATAAGGGTCTACGGCGTCTGGCAGCTGAGCGCTCCAAGAAGGAATGTACTCACCTGTCCGTTAGCCAATGGACAAAGTGTTTGATGATTAGATTTTTTTGCAGAGCCCAAAAGGAATTTTATTCATCATTGCGCACCTGTCGCACGATCTGTGATGCGTGGCTGCCCGACGCTATTGAAAGCAAGAGGGTAGGTTCAGTGGTTTTTTGGCAACCAGATTAATCTAAACATTGCCCATCTTTTGGCCCTTTATACGCTGCCATCTAAATGCTGCCTAAGGATCTCGGCCCTGTAGGTTGCCATGTCGGATCGATGTTTGTTATTCGTCCTCTAGGATTAAACTATGCCCCTATCATTATTATCCAAAACTAGTGCATTAGATTCCATTTTTGGTTCATCTAGTATTGTGACCTCGCTGTCCCCTGGTAGCCAGCTAGGAGTGGATCATAGAGGGTAGTCAACACGATCGAGCGGGCTTTCTACTCAGACATCCATGGGTAGACACATGAATAGCCGCATTGCTATCGAATGTGACTCTTGGCACTGGTAATTGGGCATGAAAAAAGGAACACTCACGCAGGCAACGCATAGCAGAGCTATCAAACAAACTGTGTTCAATGCAATAGTTTGCCAACGGTCATTCGGGTGAGTACGAATCAATCATTGAGTTTGTGGGTGATGTAATGGTGCAAGCGAAAGGGAACATTATGAATCTTCTACCGAGAGAGACCAAAGGCCGACGTTGGATCAAGCCTTTCAAAAGCAGCTCGAACATGAAGGAGCAAACGTTGGGATACACAATACGTGGACTTTATGGGGTGCAACAAAAGATTCCCCTCGTTTTTTTTGTACTATCCTTTAAACGGTCATATATATTCAGGATTGGATTGTTTTAGAGTGGGAGCCGCAAAATAACTCGACAAATCTATGGCAACCGAGTTGTCATAAAAGATTTTAAACTTTGTGTCAAGGGCTGCCAAACAGTGGCAAAAATTTCATTCATAGAGGGGTTGCCAAACATTGCTTGAAGACTGGGTTGCCTAAATAGATTACACTTCAAGTGTTTCATGCTTTCTTTTTAATCAGGGTCAAAGGATCCAAACGTTTTTTCACAGTTAGTTGCCATATTTCGCGCTTGATGATTACGATTGCCTATTGAAAAAGGCCAGCATTTGGAGTAACCTACCTCTGGTTTCTGCTAGCAAAGAACTGTCAGGAACATCAGAACCTGCGACTGGCACGCACCGACGAATGGAATACCAGTGGACCTCGTTAAAAAGAAGAGACAAAACTATCTGTTGTACACGGGCTACAGATATAATCTGTTGCACGTGTCTTTTATTTGACTATGGTCATCGCCATCGGAGCTGGGATACTTTATCTGTGACCAATGATCTGCTTTTCTGTTGCATGATGTAAAATACATCTGTTGCCTCGTGTCATCAATGTCATCCGTTGCCTTATATAACTACTTTATTCATGGGAAAGTGACGACTGAATCTCTCGTTTCCCATAGTACAGCTTTGGTAATTGTCGTCTATGCATACTCACCATGTAGGCTATAGCCTTTAACGCCATGTGTACACCATTACCGCATATCAGTACAAAGCGTATCAAGAGCCATCAGGATATCCAGGACAAGAATGCTCGAAAATGGGCGGGGTGGAAGAACAGAAATCTATCTGATTAGATAGAGACTAGTATATTTATTCTTTGAGGAGCAATCGAGGCATCCACAGCAGGCAAGAGAAAACAGCAGCACTCTGTGCAACAGTTAGTTTTGGTGATATGCAACAGGTAAAAGCAAATTTCTATGCGATAGATTGATATTACTAAGTGGCAACAGATTGATTTTTCGCAAATAAGAGAAAATGGCGAAAGGTCATAAAAGTAATAGTGGGTGTATTCAACGCTAGTGTTACTGATGGAAGCTGCGCAACCCACGTTTTCTTTCTTGCAATGATTTCCTTAATGAGCATCACTGTAGCTTTAACGTGTTTTTCAGCGACACCGTTACCATTACAATGACATGGTGTGCAGAGTCGATGCTCTATATCCATTGTTTTTTTTTGTGCTACGATTTCAGCTGTCTTTTCAGGCAAAGCCTGTAAAATGACAAACCGCGTACAAATGTCCACTAGCACCATGACATAGCGTTTACACTCGTATTGTTGGAATTGGCCTAGCTTGATCCACTGCCATATGGTTACCTAGAAGTCTGGCATGTATCGCACTAATAGGGTGATATCCTTTTACTAAATATTGACTTGTTGACATTTCGTACAACTTTCGACATATTTTAGGCAATCCTTAGCTAAATTGGACTAGGTTTTACTTATGTAAAAAAGTACGCATGTTTTGATCACGGTATTTACACCAACATGCGCCAGATCTTGCATGTCGGGAAGTATTACATTTCTCGCTTTGAGTTCGTTTCGCAAAGGATGTCTGAGCTGAACCAGAAAGTTCAGGAGTGTAAGCGAGGAGTTACTCATATCAAGAATGCAACAGTAGAGAACCACTGCAGCACACTGTCGAAAAGTCGAAAAATCAACATACGAGATATACGAAAAAAGGGGCAGCTCTTCTAGACTTCATATCGTTTCTGGGTCACTCTTCTCCCTTTGCTTCATAGATAGATAGTCTCTCTCTCTAATTTGCAACGGGCGGCCGTGCCTCGCAAGAGTGCGGACAGGTGCGCGTCGATGAATGAAACCCTCTTTTGAGGCCTATA